TATAATGTTATTAGAATTTTGAACTGAAACTTTTATTCAATCAATTGGGAGAGACTGCTGTTGTCCTGTAAAATAACAGGATGAGAACAACACAGATATGTGTCGTTTAAGTGTATGTAGTTGAGTAGATGATAGTAAGTTCAATCCCTGAGATAGGCAGTGAAATCATGGTTCACTGGAATAAACAGCAGGAGCACATGAATAAATTAACTAAGAATAATTAACACAAGACATACGCTAGCATGGACAGAAGTATGAGAAGTCAAACCCAATAAATTGAATAACAGGTTTGTTTCAAAATTTTAGAAACATTACCAAATATGAAACACTGAAAGTATGGAAATTACAACACAAAATGCAGCGATTACAACCAAAATGAGGGCAACACTTCAGCTGGATAATTTTTCAACTCAAAAGTTTAGTTAGAAGATATAGAATTACATTTTTTTAAATCTATATTGTTATTACTAGTGATAGGTAAAACAGAGTATCATGTCATTACAAACACAATAGTAAAGTGTAGTATAATTTCATTATTGACACAATGGTGAAGGGTAGTATCATGTTCTTATCAATGCACAATGGTAAAGCATAGCATCATGTTCTTATTGACAAAATGGTATATTGCCTTTATCAATACTGATATATTATAGTAGATATTACCACTATCAATACACAAAAATAAAGTGGTATCATATGAAATTAACAACACAGAATGATAAAGTGCAGTACATCCTTATAGACACAATGGTAAAGTGTAGTATCATGTTCTTATCAACAGACAATGGTAAAGCATAGTATCATGTCATTATCAAGAATGGTATATTGTCTTTATCAATACTGATATATTATACATGTTACTATCATCAATACACAAAAATAAAGTGGTATTATATACAATTAACACACAATGGTAAAGTGTAGTATCGTGTCCTTATCGACACAGTGGTAAAGTGTAGCATCGTGTCCTTATCGACACAGTGGTAAAGTGTAGCATCGTGTCCTTATCGACACAGTGGTAAAGTGTAGCATCGTGTCCTTATCGACACAGTGGTAAAGTGTAGCATCGTCTCCTTATCGACACAGTGGTAAAGTGTAGCATCGTCTCCTTATCGACACAGTGGTAAAGTGTAGCATCGTCTCCTTATCGACACAGTGGTAAAGTGTAGTATCACATCCCTATTGACACAGTGGTAAAGTGTAGTATCACGTTCTTATAGACACAGAGGTAAAGTGTAGTATCACATCCCTATCGACACAGTGGTAAAGTGTAGTATCATGTTCTTATAGACACAGAGGTAAAGTGTAGTATCACGTTCTTATAGACACAGAAGTAAAGTGTAGTATCGTGTCCTTATCGACACAGTGGTAAAGTATAGTAACATGTCCTTACTGATACACAATTGTAAAGTGTAGTAACGATCATATCAAGACACTATGGTAAAGCATAGTATCATGTTCTTATCGAAACCAATGTATATTGCCATTATCAATACTGATATATCGGCATCATATACAATTAATACACAATGGTAAAGTTTAGTATCATCTCATTACTGGCGCACAATAGTAAAGTGTAGTATTGCACTATTATCGACCCAATGGTAAAGTATAGCACCACATCCTTATCAACACAATAATAAAATGTATTACCGCATCATTATCGACACAGTGGTAAAGCGTAGTATCACGTCCTTATCAACAGTGGTAAAGTGCAGTTTTGTGTTATCAGCACAATTATATATGTTGCTACACTTTGCCATCATCATCAACACAATGATAAAGTGTGGTATCATATATCATTATCAACACAATAGTGTAGTATTGTTAATATATAATAAGTATGTCATTATCTACAGAGAATAGATAAAAAATAGTACCATTATCAGCAGCAATTTAAAGAAGAAAGTGAAAAGATTCATAAACTGTTAAAAGCATAAAGTAACTAGTGGGATGTGATATCTTAATATTCACTACAATACATGAAACCTTTTTCATATAAAATGCTGTTAATTTGATGGTTATCAACACTATATGATTTACGAGTTCTATTGAATAAACAATATCTTCTATTTGAATAATTCATGAATGGATATTTGAATATAAATATATATGTATAGACTATTACAAAATAGTGATTTGTCAATTATTGACAATCAGAAAAATGTAAAAAAGAAACCAAATCTTAAGCCATAAAATAAAGTCATGAACTCTGAATAGATGCACACATTTAATTGATGGAAATGCAATCCACCACAAATTTTCAAGTCTGGGACCATGGTGACCTGCTGGAAACAGATCTGAAAAAGAACTTTAATAATATAATATAATAGTCAATGATTAAAACTATATTTCACATACACAAATAATTCATGTGGAAACAAGATATATCTTTTTCTGTCCTTTCAATCATTGGTAAATACATGACTCTTTCAGAATATGAAAATGTTGGGAATTATAACAGCATAATTATAAAGCCATTCTGAGTTGATATTAACACTGAAAATACAAGTATTCTTTTAATACAAATTAACAATTAAATATTCTTTTTAGTCAGTATTTGAATGCTGCTATATTGCAAAAAGATCTTTCTTTACAACTTAATTTACTTCAAATCTGACATTATAAAGAACAAATTTAAAATAGAAATCTTACAGACAAAACTTCAAATCTAAATAAGTTATTTTTGTGATACAATAGCATTTGAAAAAGTTACTATTGAAGCTTTCATTTATAAAGAAAAAAATACACAACTTGTTTCATGTAACATGTAAAGTATGAAAAAAAAACCCTGAAGAATATCAAAAAGCTACAAATTAAAGAAGGCTGCTTTTATTGCAGAAGAATGGTAAATGGATTGAAAAATGAAATGGTTCAGTCAATTCACACAATTGGACATTTCATTCAAAATTTATGGAGAATGAGAAAAAAAAATTATGAAAAGAAATAAAAAGGCAAAAACTTGTATACAACACAATCGCTCGCCTAAATACATATTTACAAATAATGTAATGAAATAATGATTTGAGTGCTTTTGTTTTTAAAAAATCTGAGATTTTAAAAAACCTGTAAATTTAGTCACTGTCTTCTACTTCCATTTCTTCTTCTTCATTATCATCATCATCTTCCTCCTCTTCCTCCTCTTCTTCATCCTCCTCCTCTTCTTCCTCCTCCTCATCTTCATCCTCTTCCTCTTCATCCTCCTCATCCTCCTCCTCTTCTTCATCTTCCTCTTCATCCTCCTCCTCAACCTCATCTTCTTCAACTTCTTCATCCTCCTCCTCATCCACTTCAACTCTGGTTACATCTTTATCTTCTTCTTCTTCCTCCTCCTCCTCCTCTTCTTCTTCCTCCTCCTCTTCTTTTTCTTCATCATCCTCCTCTTCTTCCTCTTCCTCCTCCTCATCTTCTTCCTCTTCCTCCTCCTCATCTTCCTCTTCCTCCTCATCCTCTTCTTCATCTTCCTTGGTCTCTTCTAAAGCTTGATGCATGGGTGGTGTGGTAGCCTCTTCATTCTCTTCTTCTTCCTCCTCCTCCTCCTCCTCCTCTTCTTCCTCCTCCTCCTCCTCTTCTTCCTCATCTTCTTCAATTTCTGCTGCAGCAGCTGCTTCAATCATTAATTGCTGTTGCTGCTCTTGCAACTGTCTTTCCAATTCTTCTTGCTCCTCTAATTGTTGCTGTTTTAATTGCAACTGTTGCTGTTGCAACAATTTTTGTTGCTCCATTTCTTGCTGTTGTAACAACATTTCTTGTTGTCTCTGTCGCTCCAATTCCTGCTGCTCTAAATGTCTTTGCTTTTCTGCCTCCAGTTGTCTCTCTAACTCAAGTTCTTGTTGTTCTAACTGCCTCTGCCGCTCGAGCTCCTCCTGCCGCTGCCGCTCGAGGCTCCTCCTGCCTCTGCCGCTCGAGCTCCTCCTGCCTCTGCCGCTCGAGCTCCTCCTGCCTCTGCCGCTCGAGCTCCTCCTGCCTCTGCCGCTCGAGCTCCTCCTGCCTCTGCCGCTCAAGCTCCTCTAGCCTCTGCCGCTCGAGTTCCTCCAGCCTCTTCCTTTCCAACTCCTCCTGCCTCTGCCGCTCAAGCTCCTCCTGCCTCTTCCTTTCCAACTCCTCCTGCCTCTGCCGCTCGAGCTCCTCCTGTCTCTTCCTTTCCAGCTCCTCCTGCCTCTGCCGCTCGAGCTCCTCCTGTCTCTTCCTTTCCAACTCCTCCTGCCTCTTACGCTCGAGCTCCTCCTGTCTCTTCTTTTCCAACTCCTCCTGCCTCTTCGCCGAGCTCCTCCTGTCTCTTCTTTTCCAACTCCTCCTGCCTCTTACGCTCGAGCTCCTCCTGTCTCTTCCTTTCCAACTCCTCCTGCCTCTTACGCTCGAGCTCCTCCTGTCTCTTCCTTTCCAACTCCTCTTGTCTCTTCCTTTCCAACTCCTCTTGCCTCTTACGTTCGAGCTCCTCCTGTTTCTTCCTTTCCAGCTCCTCCTGCCTCTTCTTTTCCAACTCCTCCTGCTTCTTTTGCTCAATCTCCTCCTGTCTCTTCCGCTCGAGTTCCTCCTGCCTCTTCCGCTCGAGTTCCTCCTGCCTCTTCCGCTCAAGCTCCTCCAACTCTTCCTGCCTCTTCCTCTCCAGCTCCTCTTGCCTCTTCCTCTCCAGCTCCTCCTGCCTCTTCCTCTCCTGCTCCTCCTGCCTCTTCCTCTCCTGCTCCTCTTGCCTCTTCAGCTCTTTCTGCTTCTGCCTCTCAATTTCCTTTTGTTTTTGCCTCTCAATTTCCTTTTGCTTCTGTCTTTCAAGCTCTTGTTTCTGCTTTTCTAATTCTAATTGTTTTTGTCTTTCTAACTGTTTCTTTTCTGCCTCTTGCTTTTTTTCAACTTCTAATTGATGCTGTCTTTCCAATTCCTGCTGCTTTAACAGTTCCTGTTTTTCTAATTCTTTCTGTCTTTCCAGTTCCTGCTGATTTTCCAACTCTATCTGTCTTTGTCTTTCTAACTCCTGCTGTTTTTGGAGTTTTTCTTTTCTTTCATGTTCCTTTTCTACTGCTAATTGTCGTTGTCTTTCCTGTTCTTTTTCTAATTCCAGTTGTCTTTTCAGTTCTTCCTGTCTCTGTTTCTCTAATTCTTTTTCTCTTTCTAATTCTTCTTGTTCTTTCAATTCCTTTGACTCTTTTAAAGACTCTTTTCCTTCCATTTCTTGTTCCTCCAGCTCCTGCTGAACTGGTTCTTCAATATCCATCTCCTCTTCAACTTCTTCATTATTAATCCCTGTAAAATACAAACAAATTTTAATAATTTTTAAGTCAGAAAAATATTATTTATTTTTCTTACAATCTTTTCATAAATAAACCTTTTCAAATAATCCTGCAGGTTCAGAGCGAATTACTTTAAATAAAACCATTATTCTAGCATGGATAAGAATAGAGAAATTATGAAAATCTATCTCTTCTTTTTAACTTGTTAAAAACTACTGCAAAAGATTCAATATAAAAATTCTAGACTAATATTTTTTTCACAAAAAATAAGTAAATATGACAAAAAATAATATTTTATCAGATAAAAATTGTTAACTATCCATAAAAATGGGTCAATGATTCCCTTTGAATTAAAAGAGGAAATATAAGTAGATCAAGTTAAAACCACTATGAAATCTTAAATGCAGTTATAAAACAACTGAAAGAAAAATGAGACAAAAACATGCATTTGGGTTTCTTTCAAAAAACTTCTACATATAGTATGTTTTATAGTTCATGAAATTCAAAACAAGTCTGTGACAGTGATATGAGCATTGCTAGACCTTCATCTGAAATTTTCATTGTACAATGTTCATTCATTGTGATTAATGTAGAAGTGCTGAGTCAGTCAGTTATGTACCATGCATGATACACACTTAGGTGATCATGTCTTTCGATACATGACAAGGCAGATTTTTTCCCGCAGTAGGTTGCCATTTCTTTCTACAGTAGATCAGTTGCTATCCAAGACTATAGAACCCTGTCTGTCCTGCTATTTACCCATAGTTAGGGGGGAGAAGAAGAGGATTCATACCTTTCCCAAGAGTATTAGCATGTAAGTGAATGTAATGGATTCAACTGGAATTAGAACTTGACTCTCCAATTCCTCAATCTGAGCCACTATCCATTACTCCACTGTGTCTCCTACTGAGTAAAGTACAATGAGAAAAAGGAAAAAAATAAAATACAACAAATATATTTAAACCTATTCTTTTTGTCATTATGCTGAGTAAAGTACAATGACAAAAAGAATAGGTTTAAACATATATGTTGTATTATTTTTTTTTATCATTAGGCCATGAACATATTTTTGACTAACTTACTACATAAGCAAAAATCAATCTAGAGGTACCAAATTTATGCAAATTAGGTTAAAGGTTCTTCAGTTATAAAATCCCAATAGTTTTCATACACTGTTTTTTTTTTTACTATGTATTGTTTTAATGGACAATGTCTTAAGTACAAAGTTTAAGTGTGTTTTAAAATTAAGTGTATAAATGTTGGTAAAAATACAGATCAGAAAATACTATTATATGCATTTTCAAATTGATCAGAAACTTATGTTTAGAAAATCTTAAAAATATATATTTGGAAATAAAAGTGATATTATAAATGAAAACTGCTTTAAACTTTATAAAATATGATTCATAATTTCTAAAAAAGAATAAAAGGAACTTCATAATGAGAAAATGTAATTATTTCCATTTTCAGTATGATGCTATCAATACTCAAAGGTCAAAAATGAAAATATAAAAATGGAAAAGTCAACACTATTCTCATACTAATATATGAGTGCGTGTGTGTGTGTGTGTGGATTGAGAGAAAAAGAAAGTAATAAGTGGTGTTCAAACCTACAAACAGCAAAAGGATTTTTATGACAAAGTTTTCCTTTGCCCAGTTTTGATTATGCAACCAAATACAAATTTCCATTAAATATGTCCAAGTTACTGCTTGAAGAGAAGCATGTTACAGACTATTTAAATTTCCATAACAGAAAAAGGTTTTGAAACAATGAAAATGTAGAAGTAACTTAAATATATTCAGCAAAAATAATATTTTAAGAAAACCAATAGCTATGTTTGACAGCATATAAGATGCACATCCATAAATGTATCATTACAGTATTATAGACAAAGTAATGGTAGTCTATGGCATCTGAGAAATATAAGCTTACCAAATACAACTTCACAGAAAAAAAAGGGCAGCATCAATTATCAATATCCAATCCCACTTACTTTTAGCTTGTTTTATAGCATCAAATCCTGGAATCTGTCCTGAGCGTAACATTTGGTTCAACCTCTCAACCTCTTGCAAGGTCTTTGCTCTTGCAATAGCTTTCTGAATTTAAAAAATAAATATTATTTAGAAAAGATGTTTTAAATTTTTAAATGTAATTCTGAAATACAAAGGTAACTATCAATTTGTGAAAAATAATGAGAGGAAAATAAGTGATTTAAAAAAAATAAAACTTGGCCAAATAAATTACATTAAAATTACTGCAAAATGAAAATGTGTTAGATGGCATTTTTATCACATAGACCACTCCTGCACAAAATATAGTCCCCAGGTCACATGCAGTTAGCAAGAATGCTCGATGTGGTCCACGAGGGGTTTCCAAAATAGTATATTTTTTATTTTCAGCAGAATAAATTAAGCAACTTGATCACATATGAAAAATTTATTTTGTGGAACCATAACATTATCCAAACAAGATATCACTGTCTAATTAATTCCTTTAACTCTACTCTTTGTATAAAAAGAAATGTCTCACCATCCCTCTCTATATAGTGGCTTTTATCTTGTTCACACTGAAACTCCTATTCATTGGTTTCATCCAGACTAGAATCAAATCTATTTCAAGTTTGTAGCAATGTGTAGAAGCACTTTTCAAACTCCTGCGTAAGTAATGAGAATGTTTGGATATACAAAGAATATGCATTCCTGTTTTCTGTTTGAAAAAACTGCGTGAGGGGAAAGTTGGGAAAATTCAAATTAACTTCACAAAAAGATCTCAGAAAATGATATCGACTTTGTTAGTCATTGGAGAGGAGACACAAGATGAAAAGCAATGTATTTTACACATTTATAAGTCTACTATGCATTGAATATCGCTGCCACATCTGGTCTAGTTCTTCTGCTATGTATTTAGAGATTCTTGATAAAATACAAAGAATCTGCAATGTTATTCATCCTAACCTGGCATCAGTCACTCTCCCACTGCTGTAGCATAGCTTCCCTTTGCCTTTTCTATAGTTTCATGATAATTGTTCTGATGAACTTTTCTCTATGGTAACTAGACTTTATGAACTTAAGCACAGTACTAGGTTGGCAGCAAGGTCTCATCATTTTTCAATTGAAATGGCTAGATGTAAGTTCTATGCTAACAGTTTCTTCTCTCACACTTCTTGCTTTCCAGTCAACTTTGATCTTCAAAATCTTAAATTCAATGTCAATCATTATATTGTTTTCTTAATTTCTGTTCTTTTATTGTTCTCTCTCATTAATAACGTTTTTTTCTCATATTCTCTGAAACTCAGTATCCCATTACATCTTAGTAGCTTTATTGCCTTAGTTGCTGCCAGAAGGTCATCAGTGTCCAGCAATGGATCCCAGCAATTCTTTTGTTCATGGATGCACTTTGCATGATAGTATACTATATGTAGTTCTTAATTCTAAAAATCTTAAACATGGACTATTCAAAGTTTTTCTTCTAGAGGTAGTTGATAGTGACTTGGTACCACACAGAAGTGAGATGGTTAAGTCAAGGAAGGGTGCTCAATCAATGTTTTGTAGCTCTAAAAGAGGAAATATCTTAAATTCTAGAAAATAACCCGAGAAAGATTGAAGATCTTGAATATGAAACCTGTAATTATAATCTCTTCTTCATTTGTGATATTACAAATCATTTGAATTACCTTAATATTCAGATTCAGGGGAAAAATCATCAACTAATTTCCCATCTAGTAGCAGTAGTAAAAGCTTTCAAAACAAAATTGAAACTTTTTAGAAGTCAGCTGAAAAAACATGAAATGTGTCATTTTCCTACCTGTGTGCAGTATATTCTCAAAAGCAAACATGTTGAGTTGGGAACAAATTGCAATTCTTTTCTCAGAATTTGACAGATTTACTTTTTCAAAAGACATCAATTCTAAGTGGTTGAGGATCTGTTTTCTATCAATTCAAAAAAGTGCCCAGAGAATTCCAATTGGAGGTGATTGAAATTCAAGCTTCCTCTGTTTAGCATAGAGGAAACAGCCAGCAAGTCTTTTATAAAAGCATGTAAAGGAAGAAATATCAAAATATCATCCCAACTTGTGATGAAAATGTTCAGCATTTCTGGAAGCATCTACATTTGTCAATAGATCTGTCATGAACATTAAAAAACAAGTAATGTTTTTTGACTGACAAACATTTAGACAATATTTTGAAAATATCTACTACCAATATACCTCCATATTATAAGTTTATGGCCAAGAAGAGAATGCCACATTTCTCATTAAAAACAAAGTGACTCAAATTTTTTCATATGAAAATTTAGTAGTCTCACACAAAAAGCAAAAAGAAAATGAAAAATAAATAAAATAAACAGCATACACATAATTCTTAAATTGTCTTTTTCTTATGCTGCTAACACTCCATTAACACCCAGAGAGAGGTAATCCTTGCCAAAAAAATAAAAGTAATGTACTGTTTTTAGCATGGAGTTAGTGATTCTGCTGAATTTTATCATTGAATACACATTCCTTACGTTGTTTGTAAAGGTTTACACAGAGATCTACTCAATGTAATAAAACAGTAATGGTTATGCTGGCCTATTTTTCAGATTTTTCAGCAATAAAGGCTAAGATTTGGTTTTTGATATTTTTCTCACATTTCCTTACTTTTAGCCCCTGCTTATGTGATAACTGTTTCTTTCTTCAACATTTTACATTTTTTAAATAAGTGTTATAATTCTAAGCTATGAAAAAGTTAAAATGGGTCTACACCTGCTTAACCAATAATCTTTGCTACACAATAATTTACACTAAAAATTTACTCCTGCATCCTGTGGATAATTTTCTGTGATCATTGTGGCTCTTCACATTTTTTAATTGTGCAGGTCCAAGATAGGCAATACAGCAAGCAAAAAATAAAAAAACTATCAATATAGAATGTAAAAAAATACCCTTTTTTACTATTGGTATCAATGTTTAAAATTTAGACTAATTGCTACAATTTACCCTTTCTTACAAAGCAATAAACAAAATTCAATACAATATAGAGAAAAATGGTTTTTAAGTTACTAGAAATCCATCTTAGTGCTTGTCCAAATTTGATAAGAGTTACTTATCAAGTTTGCCAAGATTTTCTAAAGAATCTTTCTTTTTATTAAAATTATTAAACCATATAAAGCTTAGTCTTTTTTGTGAAGAGAAAAACAGCTTCAAATTATATACAGATTGAAAATGTTTTAATAATTTCAAATGTTTATATAGATAATTATATTTTTAAAAAAATGTTGCTATGATTTCATAGCAATTAAAAGAATCTATTAAAAACTTTGGAAATATCTTCATTTCAAAATATAGCCAAACAGTTTCAATCTTTACAAGAAAAATTATAGAGAGATTAAATTAGTTAACAGGATCATCAATCTGTCAACATACAAATTGAAAAAGAATAGACAAATATAAGAAAATCTGTTATATTCTTTGGTGCAACATATCAGATAAATGTATACATTTATTTTAGTTGTATGAAGTAATATAAATGTTGAGTTTAAAACCTTAAAAAAAATAAAAAATAAATTTCATAGAAATCTTCTATTCTTCTTTACTGGAAGAAAATAACAATGGCTGTAATTCTGCTATAAATGTGCTGTATTAAATACATCAACATTGTATTTCTGTAAGAGATTAAAAAAACAAAACAGTATTACCTTAATAGCTTCAATTTCTTCTTTAGCAGAAACTACACTAGGTACAGATGCAGCAGCAGCAGCTACATTTCTCTTCTCTGCAGTGGACAATTTTTCACCTGCAACAAATGTTTTCTTTATCTTGCCTGGTGCTGCATGACCATTTGCAAGCTGTGTAGCAGATTTTTTTGTCTTATAAAGTTTGCTTGCTTCAAAACGTTCCTAAAATCAAAATAAAGGAAAAGAACATTTTAAAAAGAACACAAAAAAAATTGCTCATAAATCATAATTTAGACAGACAAAAAACTTTTTTTAAAAAAATACTTTTAAAATTTTGGAATAAATGAAACTCTTTTGAAAGAACAAAATTAAACCAGATTAAGATAAATTATAACATTTTCTCTTTAACTTATATTCTTGATTATTCATACAGATGAAATCTTTAATAACAAAATATCTATTCAATTTTATATATGAATTTGTATTAAAAACAATAAATTACAAATTGAGGCATTTTCAGAAATGTATTTTGTTTTACAAAAATATTCAGACTGATTATAATTTCACATTTTTTAGCTGATTTAAAGTATAATTAATTGGATTTGAAAAAATATTTACTTTAAGCTTAAAATAACAGAGAAATGGATTTTTAAAACAAACAGTAGTGGTGATTACATGCTTATCATTTGTAGATCACTTAACAAGTGATGATAAAATGTGTCAACACCTTTACTGTTGTTCTACAGAGACTTTATCTGTTAAAACATAATTTAAGAAAATGACAGGTGAGCACCTTTTTTATATAATTTTTTTAAGTACTCAGTAATTTTCAAAATGTTGGAAAATATTCTCTATAATCTAATTCTAGGAATGTTGACTATAAATTTACTATAGTCATTGCTTTTATTTTCTAATTATATCATGTATGGTCGAGCATACTTTCAAACAGGGGCACGTTATACATTAAAAAAAAAAAAAAAAAAATTGTAATTATTTCTAAAATTTTGGTGCAAAATCTTCGTATTAAGCTTTTTAATTTTTGATTAGTAAATATAATCTTCACTTAATAACAATATCATCTAACCAGCTGAAAGTAATGCAGAATTTTAAAAGATTTATATATAATAAATGATAATTAAAATAAAAAAAAATAAATAAATAAATAAATTCTTATAAAAAAAAACTTTTTTCTTAGTGTCCTTAATAAATTGTAATAATTAAATTTTTTTCTAATTAAATAATGTCATTTTTTTTATTTTATGATTTGGAGCAGATATTCAGAAAATGAGTAGTAATTTAAAAAAAAAAAAAAAGAAACAGATGACTTACATTCCCCAAGGAATCCTGCTTTTAACTAATAAAACAAATTTTGAGATTGAAATTTAATTTCTTGAAATTTCATGAAATTAAGTTGATAAAAAAAAAAATTGAAAAATAATTTCATTCTTTTGTGAATAAGTCCTGATAGTTTCATTAAAATCTGACAATTATTTGATTTTTGCAAGAATTTCTAAATCAATATGTTTTGCACTAAAACACTAATTGTAAATATTATGTTGACTGCTGTCATAAAAAAAAACAAAAGATATTTAACCAAAATTTCGAATGTACTAGAAGGATTAAATATTTAATAAAATAATAAAAAATACTTTGGTCTTTCCTCTTAATAATAAACATTTTGACGATAAGACTTTTTATTAAATTTGGGAGCTTTCTTCATCATGCTGTTTTTTTTTTTCAGCGACAAAATGGAGGTACCTACATAATGTATATTCAGTACACTTTAAATAGTATAATGAACAAGAAAAATAGAATATTGAATACAAGCAGTTGTAATTCATTGATCTGATCCTCTTTTAGTCAGTTTGAAAATGATATTGCAGGTACCAATGTAATGTACATGCATATGTATATGCTGTACGCAAGTAACTTCTGTACACACACGCACAACTTGACTGAATGAGAAATAAGACATTGGTATTCCCCTCCCACTCATTTTGAACAGCCCCTACACTACAGGAGTAACATAAATGACTTCTTCAAAGGATCCCACACTTAATCTTTACCCCAAGTGTTACCAAACAGAAAGGGAAATTAGCCCTCCTAACACAGATCTCCACTTCAGTTTCCCTGAAATTGTGTGTACATATACATGTGCACACACAAGTATATTTTAATCCAATGAGAGACCTAAAAATAATTCTACATAAACTTAAAAAAATGCCTAAAAGATAATTTTATTTATTACCAAATACTTACTGAAAGTTCAATAAAATCTTATAAGTATCCGTTTTTTAGTTTAAAAAATTAACAGGTATTTTTGTCCCAAAATTAGTTATGCAATTTTTCTTTTCTCATTCTCCTTGTGCCATTTTTACCTAAATTCATAATAAAATGAAAACTTACTTTGTGGCCAATCTCTAAACTGTCAGGTTCTAGGTACCAATAAATACCTATGAATAGGTTGGTAATTCACATCAACCTATTATATATAACCTCGTGCAATTGATCACGTTCTGCATGATGCCCAGCTATTGGTGTGGGATGAATCTTCAATGTGTCACCAACATCTTGAAGCTTTGAATCACACATTCCAAAATGTCATGAACAATGAGCAATTTCTTGATAGAAAATCATCAGTCCTCAGGAGAGATTTTCAGCAAATTCTTCAAGCAGTCTGCAGCACCCAACGATATTCACAAATTGATACATACATAAAAAGGTCTTCTATTTGGAGTCAAAGTAAAGTTTCCCATCTCCAAACAAATACAAGAGTTTTCAATTATTTGAACAACAATAATTTTGCTGATTTTAATCAGCTAAAACATTATGTGACCTAATTGCTGGAACTAGGTGAAAGAAGAACTTCAAATATTGTTAATGCAAATGCACTTTTCCCAGATGTCATTATGATTCTACCCTTTCTAATAGTGAAGACCAAGGAAGTTTGGTGCAATTTGTTTATGCCAATCTAGCAACACACTACAAAAAGAATGGGCATCTTCAAGAACTATTCTCACCATAAAAATGACAAAGTTGATCAATGAAACCATGAAATTATAACCAGATTTTCTGAAATTGTGATTACTCTAAGAAACATCAACTCATTGGCAGAAGTTAACCCACTGAATATAAGTGGTCTACCTTTTCACATTATCAAAATCAAGATAGAAGCTCCAATAGTGCTCTCCAAAACTTAGACCACAAAAATAACCACTGCACTTGGTACAGAGTCCTCAATGTCACTGAGATTTTACTGACCATTAAAAACTTATTGATGTTGATGGTGGACAAGGGTTTACAATTTGCTGGATTTCTCTTCAACTTTCAGATACTGATTTACAGTTCACTCTAAAAAATTGCAGTTGGCCATCAAGACCTGCTTTAGTTATGTTGGCAAATAAGAGTTAAGGAGAAAGTTTGAATAGATGTGAATTGTATCTTCTGGCTGCAGTGTTCACAAAGAGACAATGTTGCTATCAGCAGAGTGAACAAACTTGAGGATATTTGCAGATCAAAGAGATTTTATCCCCAGCGCCATAATGGTGAAAACAGAATTTTCACTAGTAATGTTATTTACAGAGAAATTATGGTGCAATTTAATTTATAAAGAGATAATGTAGCTGTGGCATCTGTTAGACACAGACAAGATTTAACCCTATTTGACTATAGAACATTTTTAAGTGCCAGAAAGACAGGACACTCTCTACAAGGTGGCAACTGTTCCAAGTCTCTTTCTCCAACAAAGGTAGCAATGGTGTAACAGGAATATGTGAATTCCAGACAGACATTAGTGGTTCATAAAACTAGACACCCACAGGCGATGCAATAATAAAATCATTGGCAACTAAAAATAATGGTTAGGATACCATTATTGAAACCATGGCATCAGTTACCACACATCACCTGAGCCAGAAAACATTGCCATTGAACTGCAGGCAGACACATCACACTTCCAGCTCTTTCTGGATGATGATTAGGTTTGTGTGTAGAGGAGGTTGCATAAGACTATTGATCCACCAGCTTGTCAGAAAGTGTCATGCAAGATATAGCCATGCAATGACAAACATCTCATAGACACCATGCCATATTGCAGATGAAAGGAGGAACTACAAACTTTTTAGTTAGCTGTATCTAATTCTTTTAGCACTTCATTTGAATTTATATACATTACATATCCAACTCAATTTGTAACAAATCCATAATAAATTATTTTTACTGGATATTGTAATGTGTTAAAAAAAAAATGTAATACTCACTTTCTGTTTAACTCTCTGGAAATCTATAACTCGTAGGGAGGAAACTTTGTGTATTAAGTATTGTCTGTAGTTCTTTTGAGAAGTGACAGGATTTCTTAATAAGCTGAAAATATAAAAATATTCAATATACAATGTGTCCTAATAGGTTATTATAAACAGAGAATATTTACTGGATTTAAAATATGTTTGAAAAGGTTTTCCAAAAAACGATTATATCAAAATTTATTCTTTCTTTATCAGTTTATTAATATTTGCTGCTTGTTAAATAAATATTAAAACTTAATAGATATTGCTATGCACCTTTGAAAACAAGGTGGTATATCTATAAAAAAAATTTAAAACATCTCCAAAATTGTAACAGTATTTTTATTGTAATAAAATTTGTTAGGTAAATGAATGACAAAGTGGAATAGATTCTTTTTAATACATTTTGTCCTCTAGAAGGACTTCATTATGTCTTTGTTGATGGAAATATATATGTGTAGGAAGATTTGCCTAACATTGTTCTCATATATAGAAATTTAAATATTAACTTATACAATAATATTTGTGTCGTTCAAAAGACTAGAGAAAATTCTGATATAAAAATTGCACCCAATTTACAAAACCAGAGAAATATGATGGCAAAGAGTTGTTTATATTTTAAAAACACTATTCATTTTTAGGCTTATACCTTGATTTTAAAATCTACCAAAAACCAGATCTCAAGTTTATATGACATTTTTGGTATTTATTCATTTACTAATAATTTTAATTTAAGAAAAGAGGAATTTTATAAAAAAAAAATTCTGGAAATGATACTTTACCACACTTTTATATAATTTCAGAAAATCTCAATATCATTTGGATATTAAAAATATTGACACTTTCACAGAGAAATTAAATCAGTTGAAATTTTATTCAAAAATTGATGTAAAAAATATATATATATATATACCCAGTATTAGAAAATAAAAATCACACTAAAACTAAATTATTCTTTTTCTTTAGGAAGATTTTAGCTGCAATTTTAAATATAGAAAGTAAGCTGTTGGGTTAAAAAAATGTTTCTAATGTTTTAAAATCTTCTATGGAGCTATTTCTGAATTGTTATTAAATAACCGATTTTTGGAATTGAGAAATGTAAAATTTAAAATGCATTAGATGAATTTGCTTATAGCTTGCTACTCTGAAAACTGAAAATCTTAATTTGCTTTTAGTTCATATTTTGTAAAAGGAACAGCTCTTCTTGTATTGGGATATTTTAATTATCATGTAATTTAAAAACAAATGTGTTTTCAAACTGTTCTGATGTATTCCTGCCATTAATGGAAACAAGCAGTTTATTAAAATTACATAAATACATATGATAATTACTTTGGATATGGAATTGTTAACTTACCTGATGTATTTTAGATTTTTAAAACAGGTCAAATTATCAAGGTCTGATAATTCTTGGATGTTGTTATTTGTTAAAACCAACATTTCCAAATTAGGTAAAGATAAGTCAAGATTTTCTCCAATCCGTCTGTAAAAAAGAAAATTTAAAAATTTATTAAAAATTATGTACAAGAAATATTTCAGGATAAACAATACATGTTATATATTGTGTTTAAGGACATCAGGACATATGCAAATTGATTAGATAAGAATAGGTATCCCAAACTGCCATAGTTTACAGTGTGAAAACATGTCAAAATAGAGGAACTGTCTTCAATTTCAACTGCTGGTATCACATTTATTTTTTTAGACTATTTTGATAAAATTAGCATGTAAACAAAATTTCTTTCTGAAGATATATTTATTTCTCATGAGTGATTATTAGTTTTTATTTCACATCTCTTTATGACAGAAAGCACTTTTCTGCATTTTTAAAGTTGACAATTTCATAGTGATGCTTTTCAAATTTGTTGCACTCCAGGTTGTGTTTCCCTACACATATCAAAACAGCTCCATCTTAAAGAAAAAAAGGATACTCTTTACATTTTGGTCATAAGGTTTGAAGTTGTCTTTCACAAAAAATTTCCAAGTTAAAATTTTTAGTGGATGAAATAGCAGAGAAATTCAACTCTTAAAAAAAAAAAAAAAAAAAAAAGAATATTACACCTCCTTGAAAATCAATGTCTCATCTTTAATAATCAGTTAGTTTCAAATCCATACAACTCAAGGTGCACATGAATCAAAAAGAGGATATATTGCCTTGATGTTGAGCCTGATGCATCAAAATCTGTGTGGCTGACCAAGAGAATGAAGATTACCAGGTGAATCCCATTTTAAAATCAACCTTATTTCATCAATAGATATTAAAATCTTTTTCTTATATTTACTTTAGTGATGCATCTTAAATTCAACATTTTGTCCAAAATACCTCATTTGAATCACTTTCAACTAAGCTGTTGTTTTTATTTATTTTCTTTAAAAAAAACAAAACAAAAAAAAAACACTTAAACAGAATTCATATTATAAAACAGAAAAATAAATATATAAACTGTATATAGTCTCAGTTCTTTAAATCTCACATTTACATAAGGAATTAAAATAAAATTTTTTAAAAAAGTGTCCAGTTTTCCTTTTAATGGTTATTCATTTCATTTACATTCAATCTCAAGATTTGGGGATTAAATAGAAAATGAAACAGAATACATTTTATAAAAAAAAAAATAAAAAAATAAAAAAATGAACTAGATGACTTTGGTGCATGGGTTCATAAAAAATGGAAATGTAACTTGGTAATTTTTAAAATGTAATCAGTTATTTTTTTTTAATGTTTATCTGTTTACTAATTCTGAGGATTAAGTCAAGTCCTATTTCAGAGGTTAAAATGAAATTGTTACATTTTCTTAGAAAAAAAAAATAAAAATAAAAATATGGATACATTTATAATTCAACTTTTACAAACATGCATTGTCTTTTCTTAATTTTTTTTCTCCTTAAGCCATTATCATAATAGCATGATAGAAATTAATAAGCATCACATATTTTTTTAAGCAGTTATCTTTCCCTTTTCTTTTTATGTATTAATGCTTCGCACATCAGAGACCCTTAGGCAGGTGTTTAATAAAATTTACATTTAATCATCTGTCTAGTGAAGGGTTAACTCAATACCAGAAGTTTTCTAGTAGGTGGAGTAGGCCAAAGAAGACTCCAAATTCTTTGCAATGTATGCTGATAAAGTTAAAAACTGTGATGAAAGGAATAGACATTACAGTGGTATACTTTTAATGGAACTTCATCTTCACCTCTAAAGGAAGAAAAGGCATTCAGTGAATCTGAGTACTCAAAAACAACTCTAGAATTTGTGATGAAGAACTACTACTTCAAATGACCTTCAGTGACAAGTGCTAAATTCAATCAGTTGCAGTATACTATTACTCTATTATTTTTACATTGACCAAGTCATCAATATTACATCTCCATTCATTCCTGTAATCAAAATTTTAGTTCCTACCAAAGGCAGAAATGATTTGATGGCCTTTGTTGGATGATATTGCACAAGTGGTATCAACATTTGGCTTTAGATGAGACTTTGGTATAATACCATTTTCAAGAGATAATAGGATATGGTGTGTTTCAGGAATATTGGCTACAGCAGAAGCTTATCAACAAATTCAAATTGCCATTAACAGAGGGAATGCAGGAGCACCATTCCAACTGTCAAAAAAATTTTTCCTCAATTCCAAAATGTATTTAATTTTTTTTTTTTGGTTGAAGATAACAGAGTTAAAAACCTTTACAATAAGCATTTGTTTGACCAATGACTCTTTTCATGAAAGAGATTTTGTAGTCATTAGTCATTACTGTCAAGGTAAAAAGTGCATAACTTTACAAATTTTTTCAAATTTAGATACACCTATGACAAAAGGTATTCATATTACAGGGAAAAGAACACTTTATAAAATTTTTTATCCTAAAATTAGTAAAATTTTGAACTTTCAGGCATGTACCTCTAATGGATACTTTTTATGGCAACTTCAGGTTAGTATACATTTGATATGTTTTTGCTCTACTGTTAAACTGTACTTACAGCTGTTTTTATAGCGTGTGAATATAGGGGTTCTTTTTTATTGATGTACTACTGAAAAAAAAAAGTATCTTTATCTCTGCTGTGCTATGAATCATATCAAAAAGCTGCAAGGCATTCATTGTTGAAATGAAACTTATATGAGCAGTCAAAAGTGCCCTTCTGTGTCATGCCTTAATGATTTCGTTTTTGAGGATCCAATTTTTTCCACTGTTTAGGCTGGTCTTATCTAATAATTATTGATTTCATTAGTAATTATATTTCTTCTACTTCAAGACTACCTATATGAGATTATAGTTATAATGATTTTTAATGAGTTTGAAGCCTGCATCTACTTTTATAGGCTGTTGAAATTGACTTCTGATCAATGACTTTGGGGTGGAAAACTAACAAACTTGGAATGTTTATAACATTGTTGCTAAGTGAGCTACCAAGATAAATTTGGTATCATTTTTTGTTTTGTCAAATTCTCTATCCCTTATTAAAGGTTTTTAGATATACTGAAAATAAAATTTTAGTTTGGGATAACAAATAAAAATGCTTTTATTTCCAGAAAGTAAGTAAATTGACCATTTATTCAAAATGGATACTGAATGTAAAAAGGATTTTAAATTCTTTATTCCATTGCTGTTCAAAAAGGTAAGCTGTTTACATTCAATAACAATAAAAGATTTTAGGTTAAAGAGTTTATTTTCATAAAATATTTAGAAGATATTAAAGAAAAAAAGTTTCTATTAGAACAAGATTTTTCCCCATTTGATCAAATATAACATTTTTAAGCAAGTTTTGGCCAAAATGACATTAAACAAAATAATACTTACACAATTCTGTTGTTACTCATCAGGAGGCACTTTAAGCGTTTGAGTAATGGGAATCCATCCAATTTGCGAATCTCATTATCGGAAAAGTCTATTGTATCAAACTGATCCTATAAAAATATTCAAATAATGATAATTTCCAAGTATAAAAATGTCTCAGGGCTTAATCAGTATAAAGTACAAAAAATAATATATAATTATATAATTTATTCAATTCATAATCTAAGTTTTGTATACAATCTCTAAATATAATTTTGTTTTAATTAAAATATTTAGAATTATCTATTAATTTTCATGTATACATTTTCTATTTTGTGCAAGTTAATTCATTAATACTGTACTCGGCAAATAAATTTTCACATAAAATTTAAAGCTGGTTTAAAATGTTATAAACTTGCAATTTTTTAAAAAATTTTTCGAAAAGAAAGTTAATATGCACATTTTTAAAATTAAATAAAATTTTTAAATGTAGTTACACAAGAGAAAATGTTTTCTGGAATACAGCATTGTGTTTTAGTTCACAATTTCCTTGAGTTGTTATAATAAACTTACAATTTGATAAGTATTTGGAAAAACAAAGTTATTTCAAGTTTTAATAAAAACAGCTGATAATACTTACCAATGTTGCACCAAGATTTTCAATGACAGGAATTTTGTAACCTACAAAAAAAATTCAGTATTCAAAAAAAGTTGGAAAAAAAGATTTTTTTTTAATGTTTCATAGTTTATGTAACACAATATCTTTTAATCTTGAGTTAAAAAGTTCATGCATATTTTATCAAATTATCATTTAGAAGTGGAATGAACCATCTTACAGCACAGTGCAATAAAATTTTATAGACTGAAATTTTGTCTTCAAAATATGAAATCTTATTTATGCCAGATAATGTAAGCAAGCACTGTTAAAAGCTACATTAGTATTTGTTTTGTAGATATTTTTTATAATACTAAATAAAATTTTGCAATCACAAAAAAAATCATTACCATCGCTATTGCTGAATAATAAGTTACTGTGTGAAATGTTATTAATCTTTCATATACAATCATTTAAGCAACTGTTATACAACTATATAATTCAGCAAATACAAGAGATCAGCTGCCAGGTTCTGGTCTATATTTTTGGAGGTGCACCCATATACCATTGTATCATCTAATAGATATTCATTAAAGATTGGAGTATGGTCTTAGACAGATCATTAATATAATGCTTGATTCAGGGACAGCTTTTATCCTTGGGCCCTGCATAAAATAACACTACTGCTAACAAGAAGTGAGCCTTGCCTGCATTGATCTCATGAACTTGAAAAGACTGGTCATTAATAATGACCCCTATGCCAAACTTTGATGTATCTACATCTAAGGTGGTTGTCATTGTGATGTATTGATTGTTTAATGCCTCACTGATTCTATGCATAATGACAGTCAGCAGTGGAGCTAACAGATTGAAATTCATACTGTTTGTCACACAGGAGATTGTCCTTGTTAAGCTGATCAACAATTTCATAGAGAACCTGGTCAGTCTTACTGGCAATGAATTTTGAAACTGGAAATTTGAAAGATATTAATTTTTTCATTGTTGTTTAGAAAATCTAATTGTTTCATGTAAAAAAAAATTAAAAAAATGAGTTACTTCGTAAGCAAGCAATAAATTGCTACTGTTTATCCTAAAGGTAAATGGTATTCAAGCTAAACCATATTTCATAAAATAAAAAATTTGCTTGAAAATCAAATAATTTCCCTTTTCCTCAATAAATGGAAAATACTGTCATAATAGGACAACACATCTTCTGCCCTGCACCAGTGTCCCACATGGACGTGTATTAAACCCTCCTCTGTACACCATCTACACTTGTGATTGCGTCCCTTATCCATCCAGTTTGTAGACTACACCATCACATTCAGACTCATTTCCGAGGGTGATGAGGTGGACTACAGGAGTGAAATAGAAAGACTGGCTGCATGGAGCTCAGAAAATAACCTTGCTTTAAACATCTTAAAGAAAAAGGATCTGGTGGTGAACTTTCAGAGAAATGCCACAGCTCCTGTCAATTTGGTTATCAGTGGGATCAGTGTGGAGAGGATAGATAAAATTAAGTTTCTGGGCTTGTGTGTTGCAGAAGATCTCTTCTGGACTAGCAACATCATCATGTTAAAGCAGCAGCAATTCTATTTACTGAGAATTCTAAGAAAAAAAAATTTACAAAGGGAGCTTCTATCACTGCTGAGTGTGTTGCGTACTGCATCACAGTTTAGTATGCCAGCTGCTCAGCAGTGGACAAGAGAGACCTTCAAAAGATAATAGATATTATCCAGAAAATAATCAGCTGCTCACTGCCATCCTTGGAGGGTATTTTTAATTCTTGTTGTCACTGCAGAGAAAATAATATGAAAGTCAGCATACATTCAAGGTATGTATTCAAACTGCTACCCACAGGGTGACTTTTTAGTTCTAAAGCAATTCAGGGACAGCTTTTATCCTTGGGCCCTGCATAAAATAACGCTAGTGCACTAACAATTTTCAACATATTTTAAATATATTCTGTTCATTCAAGTCTTTTGGATTTTGTGAGTGCATGTATATTTATAGTATTTTTTTATATACAATATTGCAACAAGGCCAAAGGGGAAATGGTGAGGCTAGTTATCATTGACTAGCCTAAACTAGCTAATCTGATTTGTGACCCATTCATTTGTTACAATTTATTCATTCACCACAAGAACACATCACTCTTCACCCAGTCCTACATGTTCACAGGGGAACCTATTAACACCCATAATGTAAAAATTTATGGATATTTACAATTTTTCTTCTTTTTTATTTCTCTCTTTTTTTTTTAACAAAAATATAAAAAATTACATATCATGAAATGAGAGAGGGGAAATGATTCTATTAATGAAAATAAAAAAAACACCAAACTAAACCAAAAATGTTAGCAGGATCTATCCACCCTACAGAAAAATAAGAGTGGTCACTGTATTCTGCTCATAAGCAAAATCAAAAAGTTCACTCACTTAAGGTGAGGGAAGGGAAAAATAAATTGTAGAGTGGGGGAAAGAACCCAATCAAGATTAAAAGGCGATAAAAACAAACTGGAGAGATTGGGAATTTTGACAAGGACCATAACAAAAGAGAACATCAGGAACAGCAATTATTCACATTAGCTAGAACAAAAATGTCTAGCTTAACCAAGGGAGTGGTGGATCAGAAAACTGCCCGATTATGTCAAAAGGAGGTTATAAAAGGAAATCAAGACTAGCACCATTCCTGTGAATTAGACTCATGACTTTCAAACATTTTTTGCTGAAATCTACTGATAACAAGCACTTTCTATCAGTTCTGATCTTCATCCTGAGCTAATGCATGAAGAATCAAATCAGATCCTGATGAGAATAACATAAGATTACATCCATCTGTGTCATCAAGACAAGCATCCTTGCTATGGCTAAAGTTAGAAACATCAACCATTTCACCCCAGAACATGGGGGCAACACATTATCACACACATATGCGAGATCAATGGACATGAGATGTTTGGGGTCAATATGAACCCTCAACTCACAGAACAGGTGCACCAGAGGACAGTGGTAGAAGGCATGTGCATCCATTTCTTCTAAACCAAGGTCACACTGATGACAATCAGACATATCTACCTAACCCTCTCTGAAAGTAATGTCATTAGAGACAGCCCATTCTGGATCAGTTGCCAGGTAAATGAAAACTAACTCAGGATTGCTGGTGCCCAGGACCAGAAAGAGGGCAACTCAGTCACCAACAACTCAAGCCGCCCACAGAATGGGTCTGACGCAACTGCTTCCACTAGTTTCCGATACAATGTTCTCCTAGGCTGGGAAAGATCACGGAAGTAGCATGCAAGGCCTCTCAACATTTGGCAAAGAATTCAGATTGATTCTGAGGTTTACAATAACACTCAACCTTGGTAAGGTATCCCTAGCACTTCTCGTTCACTGCGAATCTTGTCAATGCACGATTTATGAAAATCAACCTCGATGCATGCCGATGACGCACCAAGTGTGGCATCCCCATGACACAGGAAGAAAAGCAAGCGCTCAAATCTGTATCAGTAATTCATTATTTTTACAAAATAAATCATGGAACTGCTCATCAATGACAAACTGTTTATGTCATAAGCATTCCATTATGACATAATGTTTATGATAAACATTATGTTGTAATGATTATGACGATAAAATTAACTTTACACAAGTTTGGGGCGGTTTAAGTTTTTATTTTTAACGGTAAGATGTACAGCGAAGTACATCGAATATCGCAATTTACAAGTTTTTTCAATTTTTAGTATCCCTCGGTGGCCAGACGTTGTAGTTTAGCATATTTTATGGTCCGGGCAAGCCCAGACTGCTTTTAATTTAACGTTATCGTTTTTAGGCGGTAAATGATCACCTCAAGGCTTAACTAATCGTCAACTTCGAGTAGTACTAAAAAGCTATGGGACAGAAATATAGTAAATTGTGAAGGATGCTAAAAAAGTTAGCATTCAACCACATAATTCTGTGTAATTTCAGTATTTAACACCGAAAACATTTTTATTTCCACACTGAAAATACCTTCATTCAAATTTGATGAAAAATACGATCGATAGGTGAAAAAAAAAACAAAACAAATAAAATTTAATTTTATCACCATAAATAAAACTAAAATATTGGGGACAATTTTTAAATATAAAAATTATTTGCAACCAATTCTAATCATTAAAATAATTTTTATATTTAAATTTATTTAATAAATCGGTTTCTGCTGATATTTGGGTTTGAAAAGACGATGATGAGCACTGATGTAACGATTCGTAAAAAATCCTTTAAGAGGAAAAAGTCAAATAATATTCGATTTCAACAAAATTAACGTTTATGAATAAATTTATTTATAGAAAGAGTAATTCGTAAGAAGAGTCTTTCTCTTAAAATCAAAGAAATTATATTATTTTGTAATGAACCACGCAATTTTAAAAAATCCAAACAAAATTAACATCTTAACTAACAAAAAAACTTCAAACAAAAAATATTTCAATTGCTTTTAAAATTTGTTTTTAATAAAAGCCTCGGATGTATCAAAATATTTGCAAGCATTGAAAGATGCGAAAGTTGAAAGTTATACAACATGGGAATTCAGTTTTTAGTAAAAAGCAGCACCAACATTTAAAAAAAATGTTCTATACATTTCGAAAAAAAAAAATTTTCACGGAGATTAGCAAGACTAAAGTAAACAAAAAAATAAACTGAACAAGTCAGTGCAAATTATGATGTTCTTGTGATCGTATTAAAAAAAAAAAAAACAATGTTCATTTTGTTTTTTTAACAAAAACAAGATCATGATATTAAAACGCAACTTAAACTCTAATAAACAAACTACAAACAAATGTGTGGAATAATAATAATAATAAAAGAATGAAAAACAAGTAAACCTATTAACAAAAAATTGAAAATAATGCTGCGATCAAGCAATATTTGTTTAAATTATAATTAAAAATCAATCATAGGAAAAATTCTATTCATTTCCAGTTTAAAGCACGGCAAACAAAAAGAAATTTATGAAAAAAAAAAACAAGTTTCGCTATTTACCACGTTACACTGTAAAAATTTCCTTTAAAATTTTGATATAAAAAAACTTAGGAACAACAGAAGCAATTACCTTAAAAAATGCTTTGTTTTTAACTTGTTGTTCGTGATTTTTTTAAAGTAATTATCTTCTTTATCATTTTCAGACAGAAAAAATCTATATTTTTAAAATAATTTCAATTTTTTAAGCGACAATGTATACTTTTCGTCATCTCAATTCAAGATTTGCGACTAATTTGAAGTTTTACTTATGGTTTTAAAACTAAAAATGTTTTGTTGGCCGTTTAAGAAACCATAGTCTTTGTACGTTTCGATTATTATTTTTTCGTAACTAGAAATAACTTCCAAATAAAATTTGTTATTTAGTTACTTTAAATAAAAGAATAATGGAAGTAATCAAATTTAAGCGTGTGTATTGTTTATCTTCAAACGAGATGACTAAAATCATTGATAAATGACAAATTCACAAATCAGGAAGCGTAAAAGCGAATAATGCACACAAATTCATTAATTTGATAAAAATATATAATCCAAATCGTCAATTAGAAAAAGAAAATTATTAGTTTTCCAAATGTTTTTCTTTTCTTACCTCGTAGGTCAAGCTCCCTATCTCGCACTGGATTTGTATATTGAGCAGACTGCTCGATCAAATCAGCCGATAATTTTACCATTTTTGCTTCTTTAGTATCCTGAAAACTGCTGTTATCGTAAAAGTTCAACTAAAAGTTTATTGTATAAAAAAAAACCGGTACGTGGCTAAACATATGAAAACACATGGAGAATGTATCACAAAAATGGCGGAAAAGAGTTTTATTACGCATGCGCGAAATTATTCAAGAGCAGATAATCCAGGTGGCAGTATCTGTCGGTTATTTAAAAAAATAAAGCGTCTTATTTCTTGTTGTCAACAACATTGTAGAAGCAGACGACATTTTTTATTTTACGGAAAAATAAAATATTACCAATCGATTTAACAAATCACGTATAGCTGACAAAACTATTCTCAATTAAGATCGAAAATCTTTATAAAAACATTAATAAGCAGCGCAATGGATCAAAACAGAGATCATCACACTTTCACTTTTCAAAAGAGTGCGTCGACTTCGTCAATGTTAACAAATAATTTGGTTCCTAGAATCAAAATGCCCTCCCTTTCTCTGGAAAAAACAACTCAGCAACAAGCCACAAGCGAGAAAGTTGGCGTAAAAGAACACGATAAAGAGGCTGGTAATAAATTATTTAGCTTACACTGTAGACTTCGTCAGGAAGCAGACAAAATAAGACAGTGGAAACTTCAGACAGAAACAGAACTGAAACTAAAGGAGAAAAAAATTATTGAGTCTACACAAACAATTGAAAATCTCAGAAAGTATGTTTTGGATCTGCAAATACAGAACGAAAACCTAAGTCTAAAAATGCAAGAAGAGGTTTCAAATAGAGAGGAAACGTCACAAAAAATTGATTCTACTCGTGAATTGTGCAATATTTTAAAAGAACATGTACAAACATTGGAAAATAAAACTTTCCAGTGTGAAGCAGAATGTAATGAACTGAAGTACCAAGAAAGAGGACATTTTGAAGAGTTCAAAGATCTTTCTCTGAAATTTAAAAATCTAAATATATCTGCAACAGAAGAACAAAATAAGTTAAAATCTGAAATCACTAAATATTCATCTGAAAAAGAAAAGCTTGGAAAATGTTTGGAGAAGAGTATCCAGGATTCTGAGAGACAAAGCATGGTGTATGCTGAAAACTTGTCACAAAAAGAATCTCAGGTAAAAGCTATAACAGAAAAGTTAAAAGACAATGAAAATCAAAGGGTCCAACAAGAAGAGGTCATAGATCACTTAAACAGTAATATACAAAACTTGAAACATGAAATAGAAAACAAAGAAAGTAGAATTGAGCACTTAATCAAAGAAGTCGATTTGCTCACTAAGACCAAATGTCAACTAAGTACAGAATATCAAAATGCTCAGTTATATCTTTCCAAGATTGAGCAAAGCCATAAATCCCTTAAAACAGAAATGTCAGAACAAAGTAGTCAACATTCTCAAGAATTAGAAGCTTTGCAATTAGAAGTGAAGGATGTTAAAGAACAATATGAAAAGTTGAAAGAGATGCACAAAGAACTAAACATAAAACAAGCAAATTCAATTAAATTTATTGAAGATCTCAAAAGTGAAAAGGATATTTTGATCTTAGAAAAAGCAAATGTGGATACAAGTTTGAAAAATGAAATAAACTCTAAAAGTGAACTCCAGACAACTTTAGAAAAGAAAAGTGATCAGTTAAAAAATTTAAACAGATTTATAATAGATTTGAATGATAAGTTAGATGCTTCAAAAGAAGAACATTCTAAAACTCTGTTAGCACTGAAAGAAAATAAAAATCTTCTCAGTGATGTACAAAACAATTTTACCCAAATAACAAAAGAGAAAGAACTTCTGCAAAAAGAGCTGGACTCAAAAACTGCAGAACATGGCAATCTGCAAGATAAAATGAAGCTTCTTGCAGAAAGGGAAGAACTTAAAATGGAACAAAGTAATAAAGATTTAGCTGAAATAAAAAATCAGAATAGCCAGTTAACTAAAAATCTATCTGATATGAAAATGAAAATGAAATTGGAAGAAGAAAAATATAAGAATCATATCAATGAACTAGAAAAATGCCAACTGGATAATAATATTACTCTAGATAAATATAAAAGTGAAAAAAATCAGCTACAGTCTCAAATTGAAGGTTTAAAAAAAGATATTCATCAGCTTCAAGAAGAACTAAGGCAATGTAAAAAGGAAAATGAGACATTACTGATAGGCAAGCAAACATTTGAGAATATGAACAAACAGAAAGCGGCAGCTGAGAGAGAAACAAAGCAGATAGTGAATAATTGTGAAATTCAGAGGCAAGAAATGATGAGCACTTTGGAAAAATACAAAAAAGAGAACCAAAAGATGATCGAAATCAAAGAGAAAGAAATTGAAACAATACGTACTAAAAGTGAACTTCAAAATAAAGAACTAGAAAATAAATTTAATAATGACCTAAAAGAGAAGACAAGTGAATGGGAAAAAGAAAATCAAAAGTTAAAAGATAAAATTTCTGAATTAGACAGAGAAATTACAATTAAAAAAAGAGAAAACAAGGAACTACAGCTTATTGCAAATAAAGAAGTTACCAATAATGAAATAGCTCAACAATTCTCAAACAACAGTCACCTCAAAACCCCTATTTTTCTCTCAAGAAAAACTCCTCAAAAAGCTGTTCTGGTCACACCTCAACAAGTAATACAGCATACTCCATTGTTAAAAGCCAAGTCAAAAGTTTCTCGGAAAAGGAAAGTCATATTTAATCCAGAGAAATCCAGTTTTATGTCTGATACTGACTCATCTGTTTCAGAGTATGTACCTCTATATTGTGAAAATAACATAAAGTCAAAGAGTATTCCACAACCATTTCTTTCAGACTGCAAAGTAAAACCTAAAATTAAAGAAAATATTCTAAAAGATGTTCAAAAAAATATTCCCCAATCTAAAAATCAGTTGGAAAATGAAATGGAGAAAAAAGATTTCTCTGTAAATGTTTTATCAAAAGAAATCTGTGATGAAATAAAACCAAAAAAGACAAAATCTGGAAAGAAGACATCTACCCAAAATTTAAAGAAAACCAAATGTATAAAGTCTGAGATTTCCAAATCTCCCACAAAAGCAAACAAAAATTCAGAGGAAGAACTATTTTGGTTTGATACTGATTCTATCTTTGGATTTGGAATGGATGATTAAGAGTAAATAGACTTTAAAATTTTGTATTTAACTAAAATATTCTGGATATTTCTATTCAAGTATTTCAAAGTTTATTTTTTAAAATTCTCAATTTGTTTATTCAAAAATACAAAAAACAAAACATACATTAAGAAATAAAAACTAAATAAATATATCCTTTCTAAACAGTTATAAACTGAAATGTTTATTTTGATTTAAATTTTTAACTGATTGCTTGAAGGATTAAAATAATATTCTGAACTTGTTTAATCACTTCACATTAGTAAATTTAAAATGCATTCTATATTTAAAATATGACATTGATTTTAAATAAATGAGTTGTTATTTTGTAGATTTTAATTCCAAATAAAAAAATATTTCACAAATATTCATAACAACTGTTATAATTATTTAAAGATTTGCAATTTTTATTACTTATTTTGCAGAATATTCCACAATCTAAAAATCAATTAAAAGTTGGAAATAAAATGTAGAAAAAAGATTTCTCTGTAAATGTTTTATCAAAAGAAATCTGTGATGAAATAAAACCAAAAAAGACAAAATCTGGGAAGAAATTTAAAGAAAACTATCCATACAAAGTCTGAGATTTCCAGGTCTTCTGCAAAAGCAAACAAAAATTCAGAGGAAGAACTATTTTGGTACAATACTGATTCTAAAAATAGAAAATTTTAAACAGGTATTGAGATAAGAATTCAACAATTGTTTTGAATGGTTAATTCAATGAGGATGATTTAAATGTAAAAGTTAAAAAGATAAAGATTTTACAGTAACATTAAAAACAAATTTATTTCAGAGCTTCACACTTTTAAAAGCTTCATATTGTGCAATTCATTGAAAACATTAAGAATTAATTCATAAATATATACACAAGGTAAGTGTATCAAATGTTTAGTTTGCTGTGTGACAAACTTAATACTATGGAATGTATGTGCATAAGAAAGACAAGCATCAAAAGCAGAATGATCTGAATTGTCTTAAAAATATTTAAATGTTCATTTCTAAACACTAGTTTTGTAATAGAATGAGTAAATCAGTTAATGATCCCTGTTATGTGACTTAGGAAGAGAACTAGCCATTTCTGATTACTGACATTGAGTTTGGGTAATTATAAGAATTTACTGGTTTCAAAAGGAGTATTCTTCTATGTACTGTGTCCATGATGGACGTGGGTGATCATGGCTCTCTACAATTCCTTGTCCTTTGTAGCTCTTTGTTAACTGATAATAATTTTTTTTTTAATTAGAATTCTAAATGGACAAAAAAAATTAATGCATTTTTTTATACAGATTTTTATTGGATAGAAAATGTTGACAGAATTCAAAGATGGTAGGGTTTTTTTTTTATCCTTTTTATTTTTAATTTGGTAATTTATGTTCAGACTAACATTTGAGCATTTGCTCTATATGTTCCTATTATTATGTCTATTTAAAATAAATATTAATTATACTGTCACTTTGTGGGGTCCATTAAAAATAAATAAAAATTATATTGTCACAAATAATTATAATAAAATAATTATCATTAATATGATTCCCCCTTTCTAAACCAATGAGAATCAACCCCACTCTTCTCCTCTATACACACGAACATATGACATCCTTACTATTGCACAGCCAGTCAACACAAACACAAGTGTTGACCAAAATTTTGGCTTCTTTACTTTTCAGCCTATAATGGTAACATGTCTCTTAACACTCATAACCAAAATTAATTTTTTCTCCAACTAAATTATCTGGACACTTACTATACCCATTATATATTAAAATATATAGAAGAAAGACTATACAATTTACTTATTCTTTATCTTATCATTGTCATATTCTGATCCATATTTGATCCAAACTCACAATTTACTCAGTATTACTGTCTCTCATGTCTCTAACACCTCA